GAGTAAAATACCACCTTTCATTTCCGTTTGAGAAATAAAGACATAAAATTCATTTTGAAATAATACCAAAAACAATGTAGATATATCGATGAAAAAAGTATAGAGTAGATTTTACTTATATGTGAAATGTTGTCTTCTGATCCAAAGAAAGAAAATGTATTTACCAAGCAGGATATATCCATTCAGTTTGCATTAATTAAATCAATATACAGTTCCAAGTTCCATTACAGCTGAGTGTCATATCAAGTATCGTGTATCTGTACCTATTGTTAAACATACAAGTTTATTTGTTTTACAACAAGCTATGTTGTATTTGACAAACACTGGGACTTTCGATCACACGACTGTTTACACTAACTACCCACGTGTTGATCGTTAGCAGTAGCGTATGTTATGAGTTTGACGGGAAATGGTATCGAGGATAGGAAATTTGATATAGAAAACGTTTTCCTTTCTGGGACACTTAATTTTGCTCTACTACTGATGTAGGCATAAACAACAAAAGCTGTGTTATTGTGCTGAAGTACTTTTCGTATACACATTGATTATAACCATTTGTATGTTAAAAACTCGTATTTGTACGTATGTACTACTTATGTACTATATATATATATATATATATACCGTCCTCTTCGCTTTAAGTAAAGCTCTATACAAATTCTGCTGATACCATACTGGATAGCTTCAAGCCAGTGTTCAATGTGTGGTATAACATTAATTACACGTAATGAACAACCATCTGATACTTTGAATGTGTATCTTTTATTGATCTATGCGCCATTTAGCTAAATTACCAAGTCTATCATTGTTTATGTGTAATTAAGTTTGATATTTGTAACTATCGTTAGCGGGGTTTATATGTTAACATATTTCTGCCATCCAGTCATTTCAGATCGTGTTTCTTAAACACGGCATAACATATCGGATATGCGTGCGATGCGATAAGTCGTGCCACAATGTATTTTCGGACTTTCAATCGTTTTGGTTAAACATTACCACATCCTTACAAAACATTCTAAATTACAAATCAATACACATTACAGTGTCGTACCGCCTTTGATTATTTTTTTATTATTAAGTAGTAATTGACTGGGGTGGTTTTAATAGGTTATCGGAGTAAAATAGCCCCGGAGTCTTCATCATTAGTTAAATTTAGAGTAGCTCACATACAGAATTTTATACAATGGAAATTTACAAAGAAGAATCAGATACATAACATTGATAGAGATCCTAATAGTAATAGATGTACAAACGATATGTTGCAGATCGATTCCCGATCTTATCAAATATTTCAGTATTGTGTCAGGTAATAGAATAATTGTTAACGTCTACACAAGATGGACAGGCGTCCAAAATGACCACGCAAGATGGACAGGCGTCCAAAATGACCACACAAGATGGATAGGCGTCCAAAATGACCACACAAGATGGACAGGCGTCCAAAATGTCTACACAAGATGGGCAGGCGTCCAAAATGTCTGTACAAGATGGACAGGCGTCCAAAATGTCTACACAAGATGGGCAGGCGGCCTAGTTTTATTTAATTCGAGTTTTAATTGTTATGTTGTTTCTTTGCTGTCTGTATAGGAATTATTACTTAGGGGAGACCTGGGTCTACCGTCCTTACCTCACGTAATAACTACAATTATAATTCACCAGTCAAGTTTTTCACTAAATACATTGACATGGTGAAAGTCAATAGTTCAAGTCAGTCGTCAGATTTTATTTTAATGTGTTTATGTATTGCTATAACATGAAGACAGACCATTCTACACCTTCACACCTTGTATCATCGATGTACGAATATGGGAGGACAAAATAACTGTATAATGTAGCATCACTGACGAGTACAAGGAGGATGAAACAGCTGTATAATGCAGCATCACTGGCGAGTACTGGGAGGATGAAACAGCTGTATAATGCAGCATCACTGGCGAGTACAAGGAGGATGAAACAGCTGTATAATGCAGCATCACTGGCGAGTACAAGGAGGATGAAACAGCTGTATAATGCAGCATCACTGACGAGTACTAGGAGGACGAAACAATTGTATGATGTAACATCACTGTCGAGTACTAGGAGGACGAAACAATTGTATGGTGTACCATCACTGACGAATACAAGGAGGACGAAACATCTGTATGATGTAGCATCACTGACGAGTACTGGGAGGTCGAAACATCTGTATGATGAAGCATCACTGACGAGTACTGGGAGGACGAAACATCTGTATGATGTACCATCACTGACGAGTACTAGGAGGATGAAACATTTATGTGATGAAGTTTATATGAGATCAATGAAGTAATAACGACAAGTGAATGTTCTAGGCAATCAGTCCTTCATCACGACGTAAATGATAATACATAAATTACATCACACACACACACACACACACACACACACACACACACACACACACACACACACACACACACACACACACACACACACACACACACACACACACACACACACACACACACACACACACACACACACACACAGACACACAGAGAGAATCACATCCTTGCTTGAATTCTTTGTTACTGGCTGGTGACATATTATTAAATGAAATTTAAACAAGTTCATTTTATCATTTTACTGCGTTGCAATAATAATGATGAATAAATAGCTTAATAGAAAATGAAACGGCAATAAGTAAATCTGCAGTTATTTATGTTCCAATCACTTAAAAGCTAACCTTTCTAGTCCTTGTTAGTTACTTTTTTATGATATGTATTATCTGATCGAGCGTAGACCGGAAATATCGGGTAAAATCCAATTTGCATGATCAAATAACTCATTTTAATATGTTGTACGATTTATGCATAGTGACGTTCAAGTGTTCCATTTTGAAACAAAGACACTCCCACCTTCCTCCCTTAGGTGTATTTCTCATATTGGTGTCCTTAAGTCGTGTATGCATGGTGCTGTTCCTCTTAAAATTCAATGTAACGAACAACCTATCGAGAGGTGTTTATGTTTCAAAAAACCAACGACATAGCAGCATTTTCGCAAAAAAAAAAAAAAAAATGAAAGAAAGAAAACTAAAGCTGAAAGATGGGAAGATTTTGAAGCTAATGGGTTCTGGTGTAGTGGATCTGTTTCTTTTTCATACGTTTAATATACGTTGATTGTCTCATAAGACTCAATGATATCATTTAAAATTAATTAAAAGCAATTAGTTGAACGGGTATGGAAACCGAATTTGATCGTCACAATTTACAAAATGTAATACACGTGCATGATGTTTATCTAAATGCGTGGTTCCAACAGGCTCTTTTAAACCGTTTATTAATTTTTTAATTAGTTAGCGTAAATTGCACTCTGTCGATATACGGCATGATCTAGGGACACTTAGTATTAATGTCATTCACATTAGTTTATATAGACATATCTAATATAGCCTCGAGAAATTGATGACATCACGACAATATTTGTTCTAATACTGAGCATAATTCTGTTTTTGTATTTGTGTACATCGGAAAAAATCGAATATTTCTATATTTCCAAACCCTGTAACCCACGCCTATCCTCCCCCACCCCTCTCACACACACCATCACACATACACACACACACACACACTGAAACTTAATTATTGTACATTACTATTCATATGCATGTCATTTGTAAATCCATGATAATGATAAATAAGTAATTTCAAATATTTCTCGTAAATTAGTACGTGTAACTAGGCAATACTTTGTCGCGATTACGATAATTCTAGAGGTGGATTTATATCACATGTATAATCATGACAATCATAGTACATACGGGTTCACGACTTGCCATTGACGTCGTACAACAAACGCCTTACAATAGACGCCGTACAACCAGATGCGCCGTACTATAGACGCCGTACAATAGACGTCGTACAACAGACGCCGTACAATAGACGCCGTACAACAAACGTCGTACAATAGACGTCGTACAACAGACGCCGTACAACAGACACCGTACAACAGACGCCGTACAACAAACGCCGTACAACAGACACCGTACAACAGACGCCGTACAATAGACGCCATACAACAAACGCCGTACAACAAACGACGTATAATAGGCGCCGTACAACAAACGCCGTATAACAGACGCCGTATAATAGAAGCCGTACAACAGACGCCGTACAACAAACGCCGTACAACAGATGCTGTACAGCAAACGCCGTACAATAGATTGTTTGTGCTTCTTTTGTATTTTTGTATTGATAAGTGTGTGTGTTTGTATGTTTACAATGTCATTGACATATTTCAAATTTGCTTGTGGCCAAATGTTTTACATATCACAGATATTTATTCAGACAATTATTTATTATTTGTTTGTTATTTATTATTCATTCAGGCAATTGTATGTGTTGGTTTGTATGTTAAGATACGCATATGTCCAAGTGTTTTAGATATACATTATATGTACATATACACTGAAGGATGGTTCTATTTAACATTGCTTTGGAGGACGATCAATTCCCTTGAAGTTCAAAAATTATGAAAAGACAGTTCAAGGTACTGACATGTAGAGAAAGTGTCGAGATACATCATAGTCTAGTGTTGAGTCATTTGAACATAAACTAAATTTCTAACGAAGATTTAACCAATTCATTACTTCAGTAACCCATGGCAATACTACTGGAGATCGCCTGCGACGTGTAGCCTCGCTGCCACGACCATCTCCCCAACGGCAGGTATATATGCAGGTATATATATAACACAGGTCCATGTTAAATGGATCTACTATTTACTCATCATTGATAATAGAAGCTTTGTTTCGTGTCATTGATGAAGATTAAATTCCCTTTTCTCATTGTAAAACTATTGCTTTATCACTTTTGATATATCGCTCTATATTCTTCATGGAATCAATGTTTAACAATAATTTGACAAACGGTTGAAGAAAAATATTGATGTTTTACCGGCAAATACCAATGTCAACAGTTTTTATTTAACTTGTTTTACAGATAATCAACAACACAAAATCCAGTCACACACAAAAAGACGTGATGGACCAGCGAAGGTCAGCTGTTATGAAAATTTGCAGTAAAAATTCTACTTACAAACGTCCATACCGGAATCATATGATTTACAACAGGAACAAACACTTTCTCTTTTGTAAAGCTACAAAAGCAGGGTCGACATTCTGGGGAAGACTTTTACTTCAAGTAGATCGACGTGTGATAGCAAACCCTTACAAAATAAAACCCCAAATCGGACCGGTCAACGTGATCCCTTCAATCAAAGAATGGAAAAACTTTGATGCAATTTTAAAAAGTTCTACAAAGTTTATAATTGCTCGTCATCCTTTAGAAAGGTTATATTCTGGATACGTCGACAAGGTGTTTTCACCAAACACATATTACTGGGACGTTATAGGTAAATATGTAATAAGAACATATAGGAAGACTTCTAAACCCACCTGTGGACATGATGTTACGTTCTCGGAGTTCCTTCAATACGCAGCGAAGACCACAGGGAATCATCGGGACGTACATGTAGCGTCGTTATGGGAGACATGTTCTCCGTGTCATGTAAACTATGACATCATAGGCCAAATGAAAACATTCAGTAACGACATAGATTTTATTTTAGACAAACTGAACTTGGAACCCTACAAAGAAGTCCTTCATAACATATCTATGGAGTCCGTAAACGATGCCTTATACGACACAGCCCAAGCATACATAGACATGCGCGCTGAAGCTTCCAAATGTATTTCGGAACAGCAAACCGCAGATAGAATCTGGACAAAGTTAAAAGCTAGAGGCTTTATCGCTGCTGATCTGCCTGTTCCTAAGGATTTGTTCCTCAAAAATGAGGAAGCAATACTTGAAATATTCAAAGACGCATATTCTAGATCTATCAATAAACTGGGTCGCCATGGATTAAAACTACAACAACGTGCAATATATCTAGAAAGTTTAAGAAAAGTACCTAAACAAACACTAACACAGATAGCCAAAACATACCATAAGGATTTACAAATGTTTGGATACGACCAAACATTTAATGAAATGCTGCAAAGTTCAAATAATTCTGACTTTTCTGTCAGTGACAATTTTTTTCTGATCTCATAAAAGGATACCGCATATTTTTTATTTCATTGATTGACGCAAGTAAAAATATCCCTGTACAAAGTTTATCGTTATGATTATGAATGTGTCGAAATTATCACGCATTTAAACAAAGTTTCACCACGTTTATAAGAACGGTATACATAGCTAATATTGACATTGTTCTCGTTGTCCTTGGCGTTCAAAACATACTTGATACAAAACAAACATTCAATTTGAAATTTGTCTGCGCACAATAGACACTACAGATTCCTTCGGTTATTAAACTTTCGTATGTTAATAGATAGGCTGGAATTCGTTAGAAATCGTAGAATTAAGAAACTTTTTAGACTAAAATTGATTAAATAACGTCATCTGCCATGTTTGAGGATTATTGATTATAATGGCGCAAGTTATTAGCAATGACCGATGGAATGTCTTATTTACTCTCTAATGCATAAGTTTGTTGGTCGTGTACTTTGTCTATTTTTGAAGCCATAACTATAGGTGCTTTAAAACTACGTGTGTCTTGAACATTTATTCTGAAGTGTCTAATTCTTTGTCCCTATTGATATACCGTTAGTCTTCACATGGAGAAGTAAGAACCCATAAGCATAATGTTTAAAAATTAACTTTCATGAAACGCTTAAATTAATACAGTTCATAATATTTACAGCTTGTTTGTTTACATCTCTTATTGGTATATAAGCATGAACTTAAATGTGGAGAGTGCAATATAGCCATGTTAAATGATAAAACTATTTTTAAAAAATATATTATTTTAACTATTTGTTGATGAAGTTACTATGTTGTCAATGACACATCGAGTGTTTTCGACGCACTGCAACGATATGTGTAAAGTCATTTGTTTTAATATCTGATAAAAATCTGTCGATATGTTATTACATGTATAAGGATTGATATTCATTTTCTGTACAGATTATAGGTACTCGTTTTTCTGTACAGGTTGTAGGTACTCGTTTTTCTGTACAGATTAAAGGCACTGGTTTTTCTGTACAGATTAAAGGTACTCGTTTTTCTGTACAGATTATAGGTACTCGTTTTTTTTCTGTACAGGTTGAAGGTACTCGTTTTTCTGTACAGATTAAAGGTACTCGTTTTTCTGTACAGATTAAAGGTACTCGTTTTTCTGTACAGATTACAGGTACTCATTTTTCTGTACAGGTTGTAGGTATTGTTTTTCTGTACAGATTATAGGTACTCGTTTTTCTGTACAGATGATGGATACTCGTTTTTCTGTACAGATGATAGGTACTCGTTTTTCTGTACAGATGATAGGTACTCGTTTTTCTGTACATATGATAGGTACTCGTTTTTCTGTACAGATTATAGGTACTCGTTTTTCTGTTCAGATTATAGGTACTCATTTTTCTGTACAGGTTGTAGGTATTGTTTTTCTGTACAGATTATAGGTACTCGTTTTTCTGTACAGATTAAAGGCACTGGTTTTTCTGTACAGATTAAAGGTACTCGTTTTTCTGTACAGATTATAGGTACTCGTTTTTTTTCTGTACAGGTTGAAGGTACTCGTTTTTCTGTACAGATTAAAGGTACTCGTTTTTCTGTACAGATTAAAGGTACTCGTTTTTCTGTACAGATTACAGGTACTCATTTTTCTGTACAGGTTGTAGGTATTGTTTTTTCTGTACAGATTATAGGTACTCGTTTTTCTGTACAGATGATGGATACTCGTTTTTCTGTACAGATTATAGGTACTCGTTTTTCTGTACAGATTATAGGTACTCGTTTTTCTGTACAGATGATAGGTACTCGTTTTTCTGTACAGATTATAGGTACTCGTTTTTCTGTACAGGTTGTAGGTATTGTTTTTCTGTACAGATTATAGGTACTCGTTTTTCTGTACAGATGATAGGTACTCGTTTTTCTGTACAGATTATAGGTACTCGTTTTTCTGTACAGATGATAGGTACTCGTTTTTCTGTACAGATTAAAGGTACTCGTTTTTCTGAACAGATTACAGGTACTCATTTTTTCTGTTCAGGTTATATCTGTATAAGATACAGGTACTTGTTTTTAAGGTTATGCGACTCCTTTGTGTTAAAGAAACTATATACGTGCAAAGTCAAGCAACATCTGCATTAGAATGAACATGAATATTAATGGTACGTGAAGATTGCAATGGTATATCTATTCACCACCAGACTCACCCTGAGATATATTTAGATATACTTTCCATGTAAAGAGATAGGTAGACAAATCTCTATATGTGTAGTATATACAATACTGTTGTACCTGAGGTCTCACGAACAAAAAACATTCTTTTATATAAATGGGCAGGAACTCGTTGATAAGTACAGCCTGCCTAATTATAGAAAAAGACGATCACATTCCACCCAAGGCCACTGTTTCTGTAGAACAGTCATACCAATTATGTCTGTGACAATCACAAACCAATTCAGCTTGTCAAACCGATAAGTTAACATACTTGTTTTTAATTCATAAGATTACTTACTTTTTATAGACAGTAAAATGAGAGCTAATAAAAAATGGACGACAGGGAGTTAAATGACTTCCATACTACACTCTACATTCTTCATTTCAGACTGTAAATTTCAGTCAGACTTGATATCACATCTTAACATCTCATCGTGCTAATTGAAAAATGACGCTTATTTGTAAATTGTGTTTCTTGATTTTTTTTCATTCAGTTCTATTAACTCAATATTACGAACATTTAAAAGATTTAACGTTTATTTGTTAAAATACAAATTTTGTACACTGAACCTTTTCCCATTAATTTCCAAACTTATTTGAAACACTACCTATAATTTCTATAAACCAGAACTAAGGATGATAGATATTTACTTACCCTATTCTACGTACACTGTACGAAATCTTATTCCCATTTGAGAAATATCGTTCGGAGCTATACCCCTTAATTGTGTTCATTTCAAACGTAAGAAATAAGATATCACACGCAATCATATATCGTTATTTTCTATCGTTTATTACACCACATGGATTAAGGTTAGTTTAAACATATTTTATTGCCAAAATAAATTTGAACAAGGGAATTGGGCACAAGTTATTACAACTTATTGGAGCCCTCTCCCATCATACATTTTCAAATACATGCTTATACAGATATAGACTTTAACATAAATTATACATATTAAGCATTTACACACAGACATAAATACATCACTGTGTAAGAATCTTTAAAACCTTTTGCTGGATTTAATGAAATTTTGCACATGTGTAAAGACAAAATAGTTAAGGTCCTCAGAAAGATCAATACTACCAAACAACAGAAGCTCTAAATTCAAATCTACTTCTAATTCAGCCAGATTGTGAAACAAAGTGCGTCTTTCTTTTCTGAAATTCTGGATTAAGGTATGCTATATGTATATTGTGTATAAGTATGTATACGCGATCTGAGGTAGGTATGCTGTACGCATTGGGAATCTAACCAATTATTATTGAAACGACATAGTCACAAACATTGACTACGACTGTAGAATGTTTATAAACTGGATTTATAGGTCTTTTCAAATAAATTCATGGGTTATAATCTTATAATGGCGTAGACGCTTAAGGTACCGTTTTACTTGGTTGTACGGCTGTAGTATTCTGATGAATGGCTGGAAATGTTTACTTAACTTCCGACAACCAGGTATGTTTTATTATCAATATTATTATTACAGACTAGCTTATAAGTATTGATATTTCACTGGATTTAAATTGTCACCGTGTCTATCCTTGGTGTTCATTAAAGAGTTCTAAAAGAGTACTTTTAAATCATATGCAGCTATTTTACGGAATACCATGGGTTACGTCCCCTTAACGTTCATCGAGTCGTAGGCCCGAGAGCCCACAAGTAGAATGGGGCAGGCCGACTTCGTAGGCACTATTTTACTCGGAGACCCGTACACACAGGGTGATATAGGTATCTGTTGAAACCTACATATAGTTACACATCATAACATGTCGGACTTATTTCAAATTTGAATCAGTGATAGTATAAATATCCATGTTCTAAATCACAAACAAAAAATAACCACATTCAATGATTATTATAAAAATGAGGGTGTTACAATTCAGTTCAACAACATTTGTTGAATATAAACATAACATTTATTATATGAGTGCACATAGTTAATTATGTCGAAGGACGTGCCAGTAAACCCCCAACTGAGAGCCCTTGTGGTTTACCAGGATAGGTGAGAACCATCTCTTTCACGAGCTGATTTCTCTTCGTTTGACTCTATGTCCTATATGATTTCACACATTACTATTGTCAATATACGAAGAAATCATCTGATTTGGTCAGGGGCGTATGATAAAGGCATCCCTGGATTTAATTAAAGCAAATAAAACTGCGAGATAATCCATAATTTGTGAATATATTAATAGTTAATTATGACTGTAGATTTGAAGATTAACAACTGAAAACTCTTGATCAAGGATTCGCATCGGAAGGGATCTACAACATCTACCGTTAGCTATATTTCACTAAGGAATAGAACACTGATTGGAAATTGATTAACCACAGCATTTTTAAATAGACTTATTTTCTCTGACAGTAGCCATGCTTCTATCCAATTCAAATACGTAGTACAGAGCAAATCTCGGCCTCACCGAACACGTACATGTATTTCTCATTAATATTTATGACATGAATTTATAACTAACATTCAGTGAGGCAATTTTTTGTAATCCATTTGCTTGGTTGTTGCAATATCAAACCATGTTCATAATTTTCAAGCAACAAGTCCGTGATCTTTTGGCAAGCTTAATGTAATGATATACCATGTACTGAATGCGATACTAACATACCAACATAATTAAATCTTTTGATCAAGTCTTGAACGTCAGCTATGTCAGTTAAAATCAGAAACGTTAAATAGAGGGATTGGAGACTGTTGGAGACTTTTCCAAGTTGTGTCAAATGCAAGAAATTGTACGTTTGTATCTATTTTGATATCTGATTATTATGCTTGTCTCGAAACGTGCTATTTATAACGTATAAATTGATATTTTCC